TTTAGACTGTGTTTGTTAAAAATCCATACCGTGTACGGGTTCTGGGAAGTCGGGGGGGGGGGGGGGGGGGGGGTATATATTAGGCTAGACAAGGGGAAAAAAAGAGATGGAGCTAGGCTGAGTGAAGGCAGTTGAGAAGCAGGAAGGGCCTAGGGCGGGGCTCTCAAACTCAAGGCTTGCATGCTCTGACCTGATGCAGTAAAAACCACACGCTTAGTCCAAAAAAACCTTTTCATTTCAAAGGCTGTGAATTATGTTCATTCACAGTCCATAATGAGTCCCAAATAGTTTGTAAAGAGTCCGACAGAAGTCTGCCAAAGTCTTTCGGGATAAGGCTGATAAGCATCCACCTTTATCTTCCTTGAAATGCTGCCAAAGACTTAATTGGCAAATACATAGCTTGGCAGGGCCACAAAGAGCAAAGAGTCAAAACGGAGCTTCAGAAGGTAAACCAAAGAGCACGAATCAAGTTGCTCCTCCTTTATGTCCTATGGGAGGGGCTAATCACCTCCAAACCTTACTCCCGAGTCATCCCTTCTGTCGTAACTGTTCTTGTCTTCTGGCAGCTCTGTACATGCACGCACTGGGAACAGGCTCCCCCTGTTCCTCTGTCTCGCTGGTGTCCGACTCTGGAGGCTCCGGAGGCAGCACATAACTTCCAGATGGCCCCTGACCCCCTCTCTGCCTCCGACACAGAGCCCTCATCAGAGCCTTCCCCTGACTCCAAGACTGGTCCGTGTTCCTCCCCAACCACCTTGCTGTCCGACGCTACTGCCAGCTCTGCAGGCTGCCGGTGGACCACAAAACCATGGGCCAGATCCGGGCTGCAGGATGCTTAGATCTGGCCCCCGGGGTCGACCTGGAAACAGCGGAGCGGCCGTGGTGCCTCTGCCAATGAAAGCGGACCTCGAGTGTTTTCGCTGGCCAATGATTGCAGGAAGCCATTGCAACCAAAAACACAGCTTGGGAGCCCATTTTCACTAGCAAAACAACAGGTGCCCCCGCCAACGTTGAGCTGGCCATGCCCATCCTGGCCACGCCCCCACTAAGCCCCTCCGAGATCAAACGCAACCCTGATGAAGCCCACAATGAAATTGAGTTTGACACCCCTGGCCTAGGGGATCTAAGGTATAAAGACATCTACAGGTAGTCCTCGACTTACAACAGTTCGCTTAGTGACCATTCGAAGATACAACGGCAATGGAAAAAGTGAGCTGTGACCATTTTTCACACTTGCGACCGCTACAGAATCCCCACGGCCACGTGATTTACATTCGGCTGCTTAACAACAGACTTACATTTCTGACGGTTGTCATATCCTGGGGTCACCTGATCCCCTTTTGCGACCTTCCGACAAGCAAAGTCCAAGGGAAGNTGTGTGTGTGTGTGTGTTTGTGTGTGTGTGTATAATTTTCTTCAGGGAGTTCTTATTGTTTTTGAGGTGCAGGAGACAGCGAGTGTGGTCACCTCATGGCGGCTGCTGTGTTGCAATATTTTCAGGGAGGGATTATTTTCGGTGGAGGGGTTATTTTAGCGCATTCACTCAAAAGCCCGATTGGGCTTATTATCCGGGGAGGTCTTATTTTCATGGAAACAGGATGGATCTATATAAATACACATACACGTTTAATCACCCATGTTTAATTCTAACATTTCATTGCTATTCATATTTTTATACATATTTAGTAGTACAGTCATTCAAAATCTAATTTTCCAATTCTTTATGTTTATTTATATTAAGATATTATCCTAATATCTATCACACTGCTAAAATAATTGTCCAACATGTATAATTCTAATATTAATAGGCATTATTGAAATATATTCATAAAAATATTATTTTAATCTATTTTTCCTTATCCGTCATCTCTTACCCACATCCGAATCTTTAATCTTATTTTCTTATTAGTTTTCCTCCCATATTTGTCCCTTAAGACTTTTACTCCATTTGACTATGCAATCTAACTGCAATGTTTCTTAACCTTGAGAACTTTTAAGAGGGGTGGACTTCAACTCCCAGAATTCCCCAGCCAGCTCTAATGGTGGAGAGGGGGGGAAGTCATAGCACATCAATCTTGGGTGCAAGTCACCCCAAAACTCCAGCAGCTGGTTGAAGAGGCTGGAATGAAACCCAAGTAGAGGTTAGGATAACAGAGTTGGAAGGGACCTTGGAGGTCATCTAGTCCAACCCCCTGCTCGAGCAGGAAACCCTATATACCATTTCAGACAAATGGTTGTCCATTCTCTTCTTAAAAGCCTCCAGTGATGGAGCCTCTACAACTTTTGCAGGCAAGCTATTCCACTGGTCAATTGTTCTCAATGCTAGAAAATTCCTTAGTTCTAGGTTGATCAGTTTCCATCTGCTGCTTCTTGTCCTATTTGGAGAATAGGCTGAGCCCCCTTCTTCCTTGTGGCAGCC